AATGCCAAAGCCTTGACAACTGAAAAAAAAGCCTGAATTTCAGCTGCACAGCAGCATCCTTCTAGGCAGATTTCTTATAGGAAACACAAGATGAGTAATGAAATAAGATTACTTAAACTTGAAGGGGTTGTCTTTTTGGCACACATCTGGTCTCCTGAGATCCTTTAGCACCCAACAATCATCATGATTTTTAGAAACAAAATATCTTTACCCTCAAGTCACAGGTAGAGAAACTGAGGTCACTCCACATGCTAATGTTAGGATAAGGTTAGCAATGTGAGTTATAATAAAAATATGAAGCTAAAGGGATTCATCCGGTATGCCTCCATGTCAAAAAGGCTCAGCTTATCACAGGCTACCAGAAAAACATAAAGAATGTACATGTTTTTACATTTACCATAGCTACAATTTGACATGAAAGGAGCACCCTCATGGGTCTCTGTTGCTAAAGAGAGGTGCATTAGGGTTTGAATTCTGCATCAGATGTGTTGCATTCTGCTCAAAAGATCCCTCAGTGCTAATGTTTTATTTTTCACAGGATATCTTTGCAAGTTCTGTTCAAGGGGCTTCAATTCTACTCTAACCCCCGACTCCCCCAAAGAAGAATGGAGGTACGAGGCAAACAGTACTCTCCCATGACTGGCTCTGCTAATGAAAACAAGCACAACTCCATTGCTGTCAACACATACACCAAATAGACACCAAAAAGGAATGGAGTCATTATCACTTTCATTTGACTTATTCAATTGATTCCAAACTCTGGACTTTTTAGTGGAATTAAACTAGTAGAAAAATATCACCTAAGACTCCTTTCAATGCTTTTGTATAGTACCATCCTCCCTCCCCTCAATGATGTCTTTCTAACCCTGATAAAGCAAACTGTCTTAGGAACTTAAATGTGAAACTCCACAGGGGCATTAGTTCCCTTCAAACTCCCAATCATGGCCTTATAACCTAATAATGACTATAGGAAATATTTTAAGATGCTTAAATAAATGGATAGATGTTCAGCCCCAAGCAAACCTGGCATGACAGCAGTCAAGATTTGCCTTGTGGAATCCAAATTCTTTGGCAGCTCCTGAGAAGGGTTTCAGCATATTTTTTAAACTTAAGATGTCGAGTTATTTATCAAAAGATTATGTACAGAAATCCTTAAGTCTCATTTGTGACTTTAAAGCACCGGGGAGGTGGCTTCCTGAATTTTAAGAGGAGAAAGGAAAAAAGTGAAAAACCAAACAGTAGCAGTTCAGACCATGTTAAGGCATAAAGAATACCTACTTTGCTCCACAGTCAGTTGAGTCCCCTTCCCAAAGACAAGAGCAGCAGTATCACACAGTTACAACTAGTAAAGCAAAAAAGGCTCATTTTATGATTCCTCCCACACACTTTTCCTTTCTAGGTGCTGTAATATGGCTTTGCCAGAGTCGTTTAGCTCTGTGCATATCTTGTTATTTGAGAAGAGCTTTAAAGGCTTTTCATGTTTTCTGACATTCAGTATTTCCAAGCAGACAGTATACCAGCAAGCTGCTTCTCTGTTGCAACTCACTGGGGAAAATCCTCAGCGGGAGAAAATTTGCACAATGCAATTGTTGTTAATAAAGATAAATTATTTCTTTATCAGACCCTGCCAGTTTCAACTGAGTCACATTATTCTGCATTACCTGAAAATATAGCCATGAATTCTTACCATTTCTTGCTTTTGTCGGGGTGGGGGAGGCAGGTGGGGACACATTTATATTAGACAGTATAAGCTGCATTGTATCACTACAAAAAGTTGTATCTCTCTTTTCCTTTAATCTTACAAAATCATGGAATTAGCTATATATTCTATCCTGTTACGTGTCTCAGTTTTATTAATGAACATTTTATATAGAATAAACCAGGAAAAACCTTAGCTGTTCTTAATTGAGCCCTCAAGAGGATAATATGCTATTAATGCATGCTTTCTATGTCTTTTTGTGTTTGGGAAGTTTTAAAAGATTCAGGTTATAAGGCATGTAGGTTCTTAGCATCTTTAAACACTTATGAGCATCTGCCAAAGAAATCTAAAACCAGCAACAAAAAAGTCTGGTGGTAAGAACTCTGGAAATTTTTGTTTCCAAATACGAAGTATTTCAGCAGACATTGAGGGACTTAGATAGCTAAGTCCTATTATCTTTTTCTGCCACACATCTTGCCCTAAAGTCTTTATGCAGCTTTTAAAATTTCATCCTAATTTTTCTATTTCCACTCCCACCCTCAATTAGAAAAACAGAAGTCATAGGAACAAAATGGAAACTGCACTCAATTAAAGTTTCATACCATTACTCATAGTATGCCTTTTGTTGCTTTTTTTTTTTATTGCCAGATCGTAATATTCACTATGGGATATTTTACCTCCTCTATTGATAACTGCTAAGTCCATATCAATATAGACTAATACTGGAAATATTGGAAATTTGAGAGTGTCCTGTATTTACAGCTGATGATTTATTGCTTGCAAAGAAAAAATCTTTGTTCAGAGTGGTAACTTTGTATTCCATTGTCCTTTAGGAATTGGCAGTGGGATTCAATTGTCCCAAAACACACATTTACTGCCATGCGAGGTGTCCTGCAGGCTTGGGCAAATATTAGGCAGTGTCTAAGAGAGGCTCATGCCTTTCTGCAATGAAAGTTGGACTCTTTAGGGATGCAAAATGACACTGGACATTTCTCTTAGCACCTAAAAGCCATGTAGACCTCTGAGGCACCATGACATGTTTTTAGGTCTGCATCTTGATATTTAGGACAACAAAGATAACCTAACGAACTCCCCTGCTGGTACAACATTAATATTCCCACAGAAAAGCTTGGGAAGATGCTCCATCAATACTTACAAGCATCAGCCTCCAGAAGAGTACCATTTCCAAATATTAGGGGTCTTGCTCACAGTTCAAGCAGTCACCAAAAAAAACTACCCATCCTGTCTTTTCCTAGGGACATCTGGAACTATTCAGATTGATGTTTCCTGAAAGCCTTTAAGGCACTATTTTAGAGTCTAGACAACTTAGTAGTTAATTCTCATTCATGCTGAGCAGCTTGGATATGAGACAGCTCTGCAAATTTAAGCTCAAAGTTATTTAACTTTCCTTCTCTCCCTTCATGCCAATAAAATTACTTACGTGGTATGCCTAGTAACACTGTGAGCATGGTGCCAGTGCCAAAAACTAGCTTTTCATACCACAGACCTAAAGAGAAGTTCCACAACTTCTCTCTCATGTCAGTTTTACACTGAACAATGCATAACCGCTCAAAATGAGACAGTGAAAATCCACAGAAGCACTGATAAAGTTAAGACATTTCACACTAAACATTGGTCAGAGTGCCATTCAGACTAGGCATAAATTACACTTTGTTAAGCTTCAAAAGTGCACATCAGTGGTGTTTAGAGACTACAGAATAATGGTGATATAAACAGCCAGCCCAGTTGTTTCTCTGAAGCCTTCCTAGGTAGGTACAAGCTGAGGACTCACTCTTAAGCCCTGGCTGTGGAGAGTGTACTCCAGAGATTCCAGCATCAGAAAATGCTTACAGTCAAACCAGATCACAAGATTCCTTTGTCCTCCCCTACCCCCACATTTTAACTTAACTTATAGAAGTAATAATAAGGATACTTACTTGGTTCAACTGTGAGAGTGGTGCCACTTCCAAATATGAGCTTATCTGTTCTCACACTGTTAATACGTAGACAAATAAGTAACACTTTCCTCACTGTACTCAAAAGGTGTGTGTGTAAAACAGGAGGTGAAAATTCAGACATTTTTCTTAATTATCCATGTATATAATTCCATTAGGGTGTCCAGAGCCACATTTTCTACCGAAACTGGGAGGGGAAAAACAATAATCCAATAGTTCAATGATTTCAAATGGCTTGATCCAGGACAGAGCTTCACAGGTATCCCTTTCTTCCGTCTCTTAAAAACTCTATGAGCTCTATCTTTCCATGACAAATGGAAACATGAAAAGAATATTGGATTTGTCTCCTCAAGTAGTTCAAGCTCCTATCTCCTTTCCTCCTTAAGATACATTGTTTTTTTGCATCTTCAAGTTTTCATACAGGATCCTATGCCATTTATATCATTGTGGTACTGTATCCCCAAACACAGTGATATACCTTGTTACAAAAACTGTTTTACTACACAGCATTTTGGATTATACAGGCAGTCACATGATTTCTTGAGTGGTTTCTGTCCCAACATACCACATGAAGAAACAAGACGTGGCTTTCAAAGAAGGGTCTAAAATAAGACAAGAAGGTGAAATTCTAAGTAAATCTATGGGATTATGCAGTACCCCTAAAAAGTCTCATGGAGCTAAGCATGATGGAAAGTGTAAAGTTTTTCAGTACTTTTAGTGCTATTTCAAAGCACTTACCAAAATTCTTCTGAGCTGCAGGAAGCCGTCTTCTTTCTCACTTTGAATTAAGTTTTAATGCTCAGGAGACTGAGGAATGTGCTGGATCTAGGCCCTCTACCAACTCTAAGTTGGTGTCTGGGGGCTATTTGGTGCCTAAGGACATCTTTGCCCTTTTTTTTCGTAAGATGAAAAAGGAAGGGAAATGATTGCTCTTTATTAGAAGAGATATCATGCCAATAGAAGTGGCTATTAAATAATAAGGGAGTTGCTGAAGAGGAAGACACGCTATGTGTGCATACATCTCTCTTTTTTGTGTTAGACTAAAATAATCTAGGATTTCATTTGGCCATTGCTCAGGTAGGGATAAGAGATGTGGTGATTAGATTTTTTTTTGACTGTTGTCCAACATTTTATAAAGAAAGAAAAAATGGAAGTCCTTACTGCAGATACCTTGCAATGCAAGAGTATAAACAAAGCCATGAGGTAATAGGCAAAGTATCATTTAATTGATATACTAACCCCTTGGTATATGCACTGGGGTGTTTGTGCATGTTCTTTCACCATAGAAAAGGGTATAAAGAGAACAATACTTGAAAAATAAATGGATTCTTACCCTGAAATAAAATTTCTCACCAGCTTACCCCATGCTAAGAGCATCCTGCCTATGTATTCAACATATAGATTAAAAAAAAAAAGCTGGGTACAGGGAAATGCAGGTGGTGTAAAAAGGAAATGAGTCAGTGCTACTTTCTAACTACTGTTGAGCGGAGGATAGATGTGAGGGAGAAGGTTTACTAGTATTCGGGGGCGGGGAGGAATGTTCAAGGGAACATAAGGCAATTGTGATGTGTTCAAGGCTTGATTTGCTCAAGTGCCAGAGACACCGTGGGTGTGGGTGCAAAACCTTTAGTTTGATCACCTAGTGGATTGGAATTGAAGACTGCCATTGGGAGGTAAGTTCTCTCACTTGACCATGGGATAAGGAGGCCTGAGAATCCTGCAGCTGGAAATGGCCCCAGGGAGTGGAGTGGCCCATTCTTCTGCCCTAGAGCTAGCTGAGTTCCTTGAATCACTTCATACTGCTGCTTGTGTAAGAGGTTTTTAAGACTTTGTAGTCACAGAGATTGCATCTCTCCATCCTCCATTGCAACCTAATGTCCTTTCAAGGGCTTAAAAATAAATGCAATTACTTTATACTTCCTCTGAGTGTGAGGGGGGTAAATGCAGGCATTCTGCAGTGGAAAGCTTGGGAGATGATCCTTGAAATGGCCTCCAGGGTGGACAAGAGTAGGATGAGATTGCAGCTGTTAAGACCAAAGAGTGGGATACACTGGTCTTGTAGCCTGCAGGAAATGAGTGGTTGTTGAGGGTCTATATCAGCAAATAAAGGAGCGGTGGGAAGAGGTCAGCAGACTGTGCAGTGTCAGAGATGACGAGAAAGAGACTGACTGGATCTTTGCCAAGATCTAGAAGGCTCGAGAGCCCAAACCCTCATCTTAACCATAGGAAGAGCAGGTCATCTGCCTGTCTGGTTGGGAAGTGCAAACACTCATGATGGTGAAGGCTTGAAGCCTGTGACTTCTGGTGCCAGGAGGAAGGCTGCTTCTCCACCTGCAGACTATTACCCCTGTTGTTCTTTCCCGTGGGCATAAACCATACTGCCAGGGGAAACCTGGAAAGTATAAAGAGTGACTACACAGCTCAGGGGGCAAGGGGCAAAGGTATGAGGGTCCTGGTGGGTTTCTCCTCATGTTGATGAGAGGGAACTGCTTGAGGAGGAGTGGACAGATCTGGCACATCAACAATTGGCTGTGCAGATAGCATTGCCAACAACGTTTTGGTTTCTGTGAACATGAGACCCTCTTTTAGGATTGAGGATCGCTTGGAACAGATGGGATTCACTTGATTAAGTGGGGCAAAAGCATCTTTGCCAAGTTTGGCCAAGCATATGAGGAAGTGCCTCAAAGGGTTTTGACAGGTGCATCAGTAGCAAAAGGAAGATTAGGGTAAATGTGGGCCCACTGGTGAATGGTACAGGGAACCTGGTGACAAAAGACATGGAAAAGGCCAAGCTACCCAATGCTTTCTTTGCCTCAGCCTCAGCCTAGTAAGACCTGTCTTCAAGAATCCCTGAGACTAGCGGGAGAGTCTGGAGCAAGGAATACTTGCCCTTGGCAGAGGAGGATCAGGTTAGGAATATTTAAAAAAAAAATCTGAACCTGCACAAGACCATGGGTCCTGGTGGATGCCCCCACAATTGCTGAGGGAGCTGGCCGATGCCATTGTGAGGCTACTCTTGGTTAGCTTTGAAAGTTCATGGGAATCAGGGGAAGTTTCTGAAGATTGGAAGAAAGCAAGCCTCACTCCTGTCTTCAAGAAGGAGGATCAGGATACCTATGGGCCAGTCAGCCTCCCCTCGGTCCTGGGAAGGTAATGGAGCAAATCCTCCTGGAAACCGTTTCCAAACATAGGTAGGATAAGAATCACAGAATCACAGAATCGTTTAGGTTGGATGGGACCTCTGGAGATCATCTAGTCCAACCTCCCTGCTCAAGCAGGGTCCTCTAGAGCATATTGCCCAGGATCACATCCAGACAGGTTTTGAATATCTCCAGGGAAGGAGACTCCACCACCTCTCTGGGCAACCTGTTCCAATGCTCTGTCACCCTCACAGTGAAGAAGTTTTTTCTCAGGTTCCGATGGAACTTCCTGTGGTTCAGTTTCTGCCCCTTGCTTCTTGTCCTGTTGCTGGGCACCACGGAGAAGAGACTGGCCTCATCCTCTTGACACTCCCCCTTCAGATACTTGTACACGTTGACAAGATCCCCTCTCAATCTTCTCTTCTCCAGGCTGAACAGGCCCAGCTCTTGCAGTCTTTCTTCATAGGAGAGGTGCATGGAGCCCTCTAATCATCTTGGTAGCCCTCCGCTGGACTCTCTCCAGGAGTGCCATGTCTCTCTTGGACTGGGGAGCCCAGAACTGGACACAGTACTCCAGGTGAGGCCCCACCAGGGCTGAGGAGAGGGGCAGGATCACTTCCCTCGACCTGCTGGCCACACTCTGCCTAATGCACCCCAGGAGACCATTGGCCTTCTTGGCCACAAGGGCACACTGCTGGCTCATGTTTAACTTGGTGAAGAAGGTGATTGGGCATAGTCAGCATGGATTTGTGAAGGAGAAATCACATATAATCAACCCAACAGCCTCCTACAATGAAATGACTGACTGGGGTGAGCGGAGAACAGTGGATGTTGTTCATCCTGACTTCAGTAAGGCTTTTGACACTGTCTTGCCCAACATCTTCATAGATGAAGTGATTTAGTATGGACAAGATGAGCAGGTAGTGAGGTGGATTGAAAATCTGCTGAACTGCTGGACTCAAAGGGTTGTGATCAGTGGCATGACGTCCAGTTGGAGGCCAGTCATTAGCAGTGCACCACAGGGGTCAATACTGGGTCCAGTCCTATTTAACATATTCATTAATGGTCTGACTAACAGGACAGAGCACACCCTCAGCAAGCTTGCAGATGATACAACATTGGGAGGAGTGGTTGATAGACAAGATGGCAGCACAACCATTCAGAGGGACCTCAATAGGCTGGAGAAATGGACAGAGAGGAACCTCATGAAATTCACCAAAGGGAAAGGCAAAGTCCTGCACCTAGGGAGGAACAAGTACATGCGCACCAGTACAGGCTGGAGGATGGCCAACTGGAAAGCTGCTTTACAGAAAAGGACCTGGGGATCCTGGTGGACAACAAGTTAACCATGAGCCAGCAATGTGCCCTTGTGGCAAGAAAGGTCAACAGCATCCTGGCCTGCACTAGGAAGAGTGTTGCCAGCAGGCTGAGAGAGGTGATCCTTCCCCTTGACTCATCACTGGTGAGATCAGATCTGGAGTACTGAACATTGAAGTTGCAGGCATGAAAGAGAGAACTGAGAAGTGTGTTGGGGTGCCTTATCACAGCTATCGGGTGGGGAGGGTACCAATTCAGAACAAAGATTCTGTGGCACAGCAGTTTCCAGCCTTTGCTTCTGAATACCCTGAAAACTTCTGGCATCATCAAAGGACTTATGGGAAGCCATCTGGGAAGCTTTCAGGAACTTGAGGACGCCTGTTGCTGCCAGAAAAGGATGGCTACAGGAGGCCTTGACTTCTAGCAAGTTTCAGCAGCTCTAATGACCTCTGTAAGCTCAAAAGGCTTTTCACAAAAGGGAGCTTGGAGCTTTTATTTCAGTTGACCCCTGATTAGGGAGGGTCAAGCTCCATTTTAGCCAGTGATTGGGAGAAGCCTATATAAGAGCCAGACCTAGAGTGCAGCTCCCAGAGTGTAGTGAATAGAGGCAGCAGGGAGTTCAAAAGGGGCCAGCTGTTGAGGCCAGTATCCATGTCCTCAGTTATGGTGGTAAGCAGCCACAAGGCATGTTTCCCTAGCGACAATTTGAACAACTTTCCCTGAAACACTGCAGTCCTCGACCCAGAAGAAGAGTGCAGCTTTGCAGGTCTCAGGCTGCAGGGAGTGCTTGGGGGCTCTGTAGGAGACGAGGTAGCTGTGGGAGATGGTCTTACATTGTATCGTATGATTAAGGGACTGGAGCATCTGTCATCTGAGGAAAGGCTGAGAGAGCTGGGATTTTTTAGCATGAAGAGAAGGCTTAGGGTGATCTTATCAATATGTTATCAACATACCTGATGTGGGCATGTAAAGGGGATGGAGTTAGACTCTTTTCAGGGGTATC